AAAAAAAAAAAAAAAAAAAAAAAAAAAAAAAAAAAAAAAAAAAAGAGAGAGAAACAAGCTGCCTGAGCCCATCAGGAGCCAGGAATTTGCTTCCTGCCTGGCAGCCAACAAGTTTCCAGGGATACCGTGTGGATCCCTTCCGTCCCCAGACACAGAATGGCTCATTCTTTGCACCGGGTTTGTGCCGGGGGGTTTTGTGAGGGAGATGAAACCCTGGGAGCTGCAGGATTCAGTGATGAGCCGGCAATTACCCTTCTGGGTGGGCTCTGGGGACAGCCCCCCACCCCCAGGCTGCCCCAAAGCCTGGGCACAGGCATTGTGGGGGGACTACGATCCAAGGCCTCACACCAGAGGAAGGGACCTAGGGAGAGCTCCGAGCCCCCTGAGCAGGGGACACAGCTGCCCCTCACCAGTGGCATTGTTGCGATGTCCCTTGTATCTCTTGATGTACTCGGCTCCGTCGCTGTGAGAGGAGTTGAAGAGATAAATATCCTCGTCGTTGTAGCTGGCCAACAGCTCTGGGGGGGATGGGGGAGAGGGGGGTTAGTGGGGAGCAGCCGGGGCGGGTATCTCTGCCCCAAGCTCCCCCAGGCTGCTCCATCACCCCCAAACTCATCTGTCAGTCTCCACTGCTCACCCGAGCCGTCGTGGCTGTAGACCAGGCCGGTGATGTTGGCTTTGGACTCACTGTTCACCTGGGGAGAGCACAGACAGTTCTGCTCCCACCTGCCCCAGCACTGACCACGCTGGGAGAACTCGGCAGGATCTGCGGCCCCATGCAGGATTTCCAGTCAGGGGGTGGAATCGTGGCCTCTTCCCACACCCAGGCAAGCCTTCACGGGCAGTGGGAGGTTTGGGTCAAAGGAAAACACCAAACCCAGGCGGTTTGTTGGGCCTCCAAGTGATTTTCCAGGCAGGAAGCCCGCGGGAGGCTCAGCTGCTGCTCCGTGGGACTCCCAAGGGAGCACAGTGCAGATCCAGCTTGGTCCTGGCTAAGGGAGCTGGGCAAGGGCTGATCCCAGAGATCTGGGCCACCTTTGGATGTCCCCTGCCAGCCCACCCACCCATAAGCTCCCCCCACCGTGTCCCCACAGGGGATGGACCCCCAGGATGCAAAATGGAAACACTCACCAGGTGGTGGGGGCAGAACTTCTTCAGCACCCCATTGTTCTCGTTCTCATCTATTTTCCGCTGGTCATAAATCCTGGAGGAAGGATTTGGAGCATTGGGAGCTCCCTTGGGACACAGTGCATGCCCACCCAAGTATGGCAGGGGATGTGGGGGGGACACCACGACCTGCCCTGAAGCTCCAGCCCTGTCCCAAGGGAGCTGCAAGGGGTCGGGACCGGCCAAAGCAGCTTAATGTCACCTCTCATCACCGTGGGTGCCTGTGACAGCGCCAAGGCTGCACAGGCCATGACCTGCCCTCAGGGCCCTGCCAGCTCTGCAAGGGGACACGTCCCCACTGTCCCTGGGGACCTCAGGGTCCCCAGCCTCCCCAGGAGCTGCTCTGAGCAGCAGTCCAGGCTCTGCCCACAGCTCCCGAAGCA